AGTCCCCGAAATCCTGCAACCTAGAACCTAAACCCTCAATCCCAAACATCGAGCCCCTAAATCCTAAACCCTAGCTCCAATTCCTGAACGGGAAACCCCGAACCCTGGATCCTGTACCCCAAACCCCCGAAGCCGAAAATCGTCGATGCGAACCCAAAACCCAGTTCCCCAAAGTACTTGTTTGGGGTTTAGGGTTTTAGGGCTTACTAAACCCTAAACCCTAAACCCCAAACCCTATTACAGTTTAGAGTCTCCAATTTCTGGACCTTTCTATCGAGCCCTACACAGTAGGATCCCAATCATCAGGACCCCCCATAAAGGAACCAAATGGCTACCGAACTCTCCAGCATAGATTGGGCCGCCTTCTTCCTACTGTTGAGTTTTAAACAGGAGATCCCAAAAACCCCAAACCCTAATTCCTAAACCCTAAACCATAAACCCGGAACCCCAAACCCTAACGCCTAAATCCCAAACCCTGAAGCCTAAATCCCAAACCCTAAAGCCTGAATCCCAAACCCTAAACCCTAAACCCCAAACCCTAAAGCCTAAGTCCCAAACCCTAAGCCTAAGTCCCAAAGGCTACTGAGCACCGGGTTCCCTGGGAGACTGCGCCCACGAGCTCTCTGCTGTTGCCTTCGGCAACTGCCTTCGGCAACTGCCCAGCTGAAGATCATCCTAAGGCTTCTATAACTTAATGTAGGGGCCTTAATAATTAGAATAGGGTTTTGGGGGTTCCTGATTATATCGAGTAGGGGGTTCTGGAAGGGTTTTTGCACTTGAGGGCTGTTTGCACTCCTTTCATTCGGGGTCTGGGGTTCCGCTGTCGAGGTCGTGCTGAGGGTGTTTAGGGTTTAGGCTTTAAGGGTAGAGCTGCAGAGCGTGTGCTCTCGGCTTTCGGGTGCCCCCTGCTTGCCGAACAATCCGAGTCATGGGTCGACAAAAGCGCGAAGTGAATGGCCAATGTAGAAGCCTAAAGAATTACCAATACTATTCCTTAGGGCTCCTTACTATAACTCCACCATTAAGGACCCCAAAACCCTGTTCTCATTATGAAGGCCCCTACATCACGCTTAGCCATCAAGCCGGAAAAACGGTCTAAGTGCACGTGGCAAAACCAGTTACCTCTGTCTGTGGCTGGTCCCTACAAGCTAAGAGTAACCTGCTGGAAGCAGCTGGGCGATGCACGATCACTCGTGGTCGAAGCCGAACCACCAAATCCTCGTCAGCGGTGGTCGCAGCTTGAGTTCTAGGTTGACCGTTTAGGGTTTAGGGTTTAGGGTATATCTTGGGGCTGGGCCGGACTAGTTAGACTAGTTTTCGGAAGGCGGAGGCGGGGCGCGGCTGGTTCAAACATGAACTGATGGGGGATTCCGAGGAAATGCGATCATGAATTGTACAGGTCGGATACAAGTCCTTTTTCGCACAACGTACAGGCCTGTTCCTTCGGACGCTGCCTTTGACTTAACTTGGGCTATCGGGCTAGATGAGGGCTTGGGCTTGTCGTTGAAGGAAGCATCCGTTGTCCAGCAGGAAACTTACGACACAAAGGCACTTTGCGCCTACGATGACACGGCTCTTTGGCCGAAGACAAGATGGACTCGTATCAATTCCTATCACACGGATGGAAACCGTACCATCGCAACTCCACCGCACTAACCCGGAACCTGAAACCTTTGCCCCAAAAACCCTAAACCCTAAACCCCTAAACCCTAAACCGCTCAAACCACGAGTCTGGCGACGGCGAAAGATTGCTTAACATCCCATGGTAAGCCGAAACGGGAGCAAGACTGGTTAGGGTTTCAGGCGGAGGTTTAAGGCCTAATGTAGGGGCCTGAATAATTAGCATAGGGTTGTGGGGTACATTTTCTTTGAATATAACAAGGAGCCGCCCCAAACAGAATTGGGTGATTATTTCGGCCCCTACAGTAGGGTGTAGGGTGTAGGGTCGGTCGTGGCTTCTGGCATATGTGCTACGCTGAAACGATTTGAAGGATCAATTCACTGAATCACAGATGTTCGGATTGGTGAACAGTAGATAAAAAACTTTAGACTCCAGAACCCTAGACCCAAAACCTGACCTAAATCCAAAGCTCAAGCAAAAACCGTAAAACAACCTTAGAGAAACAAAAGAAACTGGCGGCCGATTGACACAGATCCGAGGCCGCCGAAGAAGATAATGATGAAGACGGTGCGCGACACAGCTGTGAACCTTGTTGCCATGCTTTTGTAAGCTGATGTAGGCTCGCAGGGTTCAGCCCAAAACCCTAAATCCTAAACCCTACAGAACCCTAAACCAGAACCCTAAATCCTGAACCCTAAAGAACCCCAAACCCCAAACCCTAAACCCTAAACCCTGAACCCATAAGCCCGCCCGAAACCGTAAGTGCGACATGCACGAACTCTGCTGCACTTCGCAAGGAGCTCTCCGAGTGGAATCCTTCTTTCCAATGCACCGGAAAGAGGCGCTTTGGAGTTCGGTTCTCTTCGGGTTTTTAGGGGTTTTAGGGTTTAGGGTTCTTTAGGGTTCAGAATTTAGGGTTCAGGATTTAGGGTTCTGTAGGGTTTAGGGTTTTTAGGGTTTTCGGGTTTAGGGTTGAACCCCCACAACAGCAGCGAGACTCCTCAAATGCACACAAGACCTGCCAAGCCTCGATTTCTGAGTGTCGGGCTCATCTTCGACCCAGTTCTTGTCCCAGTTCTGGCCACGAGGAGCTTGAGGATGCTTCGAATTGCAACGAGATCCTAAGGCATCTAAGGTTGAAACCACGGGCCACTAGTATGGGCCCTTAACGCTGGCATTCTTATACACCTACTATGTATCCTATATCCTATACATACCCTTTTGTCCTTAAAAAGCCCATACTTCTAACTTCAGAGAGAGAACACGAGAGCCACAGGCGGATTGACTAGGACAGATACAGCTAGCTGCTAGCGAAGAGAACCCTTTCAGAGTGACAGATAGACAGAGATGGGGCTCAGATAAGTCGAGCTACTACACTTCCGCCTGCCGCTCGTGCTGCTGCTGCTTCTGCTGCTGCTACTGCTGCCACTGCAGCCGGCGCATCTGCGTCCGTGTTCGAGTGCATCGACAGCATGCATGCTTGAACCTTTTATGCTCCCATCGTACCGATTGGAATGGTGCACATGCCGTAGCCAGAAGATTGTCACAAGTAGTTGCACCTAGTCAGTCGCAGCAGCCGTGCCAACATCACCAACAACACCACCCCCAAGGCAACCATCACCACCAAAACCTGCTATCTTCATCATGAACGCTAACACCACAGCTCTTTCGACGCAGCGATGCATCATGGTCACCTTCTTCTGTCAACGCATGCACACCAGTTGATGCGGAGAAACGACGACTATGGATACCCTCTCCATGAATACACGCTTCATGGCCATGCTGAACACAGTGGTGGTGAAGACGGATCTTCAAAAAGCAGAGAGTGCCACGACAAGCATGGCATTACAGGAGTGCAACTGTTAACTGGCAGTACGTGTAGCACGAAGAGGAGGCACTGAGGACGACCGTGATGATGTGGAAGAAGAAGAAGATGATGATGATGATGAACAAAGACGGTCAAGATGCTGAAGATGACGCCGTGGATGACAGATTCGACCCTCGACCCCAAACAGTGGGGCCGCACGGCTGTGCAGGTGAAGCTGTGCAGTTCAGACTCCAAAACCCATCCCAGTCGCTAGTGAGGTGGCACGGTGCACGACAATCAAAGCGCAAGAACTAGAAACACATCCTGCTGTATTGCTACAGGATACATGAACCACCAACCAACGACGCGACCACAACGCACTGTCCGGTAAGGTCCTAATCGAAGAGCAGCACAATTACTGAGTTTATAGGGGACCCTACAAACATGTGTATCCGGTGCTGGGTGGCTTGGAGAAACTCCCAGTTTAAGACCTATACCGAGGCAGTGGGATGTTTAGGCCGTCACTTGACTAGGGAGTCATGGTCTACTTGGAGGTTTCTGGCTAGCTACTTATAACTATAGTTTAACCTGTATTGGGGACTTCTAACTGCACTTATAACTGCCCATGACTCTCCAAGCACGGCCGACTAGCAGCTCTTTTCGGACAGACTCAAAAGCGAAGGGCTTCAGGTTTCGAAAGTTTAGGAACCGTGAAGCCTAAGCAGCAACAGCAACCCGACGCCGTGAGGAGAGCTCAGGGTCTTTTTGAACAGGACCTTAGGGTGTAGGGTTCAGGGGTTCAG